TTGGATCATCCAACAGATGTGATTGTTGATGAACAAAGTCATTCGATTATCATTGCTGATTCTTTGAACAGACGAGTAATCCAGTGGATGAATCAAAATCAACAAGTTCTCATTCAGAATATTGATTGTTATGGTTTGGCAATGGATAAAAATGGATTTCTTTATGTTTCTGATCGTGTGAAGAATGTAGTGTGGCGATGGAAAATGGGTGAATACAATGAAGGAGTTGTAGTGGCAGGTGGAAACGGAAAAGGAAATCAACTCAATCAATTATATGGTCCTACTTTTATCTTTGTTGATGAATATCAATCTATTTATGTTTCAGATTCTGACAATCATCGTGTGATGAAATGGAAAAAAGGTTCAAAAAACGGAACAATTGTAGCTGGAGGAAATGGTGAAGGGAGAAATCTCATTCAATTGTCTTCACCTTATGGAGTCATTGTTGATAATTTGGGTCAAATATATGTGGCAGATCGTGGGAATGATCGAATAATGCGTTGGAATGAAGGAAAAGGTGAAGTTGCTGTTGGGGGAAATGGCAAAGAAAATCAATTGTATGGTCCCCGTGATTTATCTTTTGATGATGAAAAAAATTTTTATGTTGTTGATTTAGGAAATAATCGAATTCAAAAGTTTCAAATAATTTTGTAAATGAAATTTTGATTTTGTAAAAAAGAAAAGAACTTTATTGTTAAATAAAAATTGGAGAAATAAAAATAAAGGGCAAAGCGAAGTTTTATTGTTGAGAATCAATGAAAAAAATCGAGTAAAATTTGAAGAAAAAGACACTTTTACAAAAGCACAAAGAAAAATCTCTGTGTTTTTTTTTCATGAAAATTGAATTTAATTTGATAATTTTGATTTTATACTTAGGAAATGCTTTCAATTCTTGATAATCCACAACCTTTATCAAAGCGAAAACAAAAAGCAAAAGGAAAATTTGATCAGCAAGGAAAGTTAATTGAAAACATTGGTTCTATTCCAAACAGCTATTGAACCGTCGTGTAAAAATTCTTCTTGTTTAGAAGAAGTAGAAATTAATTAAATTGTTATGTCTCGTAAACATAAACCAACACCTATTTCATCTGCACTTATTAATACAAAGCAAAAATGACAACAGATAAATACTAAATCTAAGACATCAATTCTTACGCAACAAAAAGTCACATCAGAAGTAATATCAAATAGTAATAAACAACAACAACATAATACAAACATTCCTGCAATACATGTTCATAATCCAGTGAGTAATCAACAAAAACGAAAGATTGAAACATCATCAGCTTGGTCAAATCGTGAAGAAACACAAGGTATAGATTATTTAGTTAAACCATCATCGACTCTTCTTGCAACAGCACCAGTTTTTATTCCATCTTCTTCTCCTGTTCAACCAAATAAAACCAATGATATTCTTCCAATTGAAGCTACAACTCCTTCTTCTTTCTATTGGAATTCAAATGATTATCTTTCATCTAATCCTGTTCAGCAACATTCATCGGAATTATGTGCCACTACTCCTTTTCCAACTTATTCACCATTAATTATGCTATGGATAATTCAAATTCAACATGGAATAATATATCTGTGACAAATTCAAATCAATTTCATTGGGAATATTCACATAATGAACAACAACCTCAAACATCAACTATTCCAAATGATTTTCCACTTTATGATCCATGTAATAGTAATACTGGTCTAAATATTCCATCATCAACCATACTTACTCATATACAAATTCTACAAGTGAATGATGTCGATGAAATGGATGCACTTGATAAAGAAATTGAAGATTTTAAAAAGTAAATTATTTCTATTGGATTTTGTTCTAATTAAATATCTATTCATTATATTTAGATGTTATATTGATCCTTGTTTTATTAGATCAACGCGAAAGAAAAACAAATTAGTATTAATCCTTGTTTTATTCATCAATTTTAAAAATAATAAATATTTTTTACTTTCTCTTACTTTTATCATTTATTTCATATTTATTGTATAAATCTGTTATAGATTCGGAGATATAGTATAAAATAGTATAATTTTAGAATAACATAAATTGAAGTAATTTGTTGTTGTAGTTTGAAATTTTTCATTAATATTTTCATACGTATCATGTTGAAATTAGTTGGAGGCAACCAAAACTAGTTGTTAACGTAATAGTTCATATTATTTCAAATGTTCTTATAATGAGAATCATATTAACAATTCAATACATTAATATGAAGAGTACTGGTAACCATATTTCTCCAGGTTTTTATTATTTTTCGTTACATAGTACAATTAGAATATGTTGAAATTGACTATGCATCATGTAACGAGTATTATATGACTGTTCATTTAATTTTGGATAAGGATAGATTCCAAAGAATTCTTGTTGAGTTTTTGTGATTTCGAATGTAAATTGTGTTTTGTTTTTTTCTCATTTCATGATCAGTATCATATTACATGTTACGAGATAACTTTTTAAATTGTGTTTTTGTAATCCATTGGAGCTATTTGTAAGAGGTCGTTCTTCTTCTTTGTTATAAACTAAATGTAATAAATACCTATCATAACGTGAGGAAAAAATCAAGCTATACCAGTTTCGGAGTTAAAATAAGAAGATGGTTACTGTTTAGCCTTTCATTTATTTTCAAAACAAAGACGACATACTAATACACAATCACAGGTATAGAAATTATTTCATTAGAGTCAGCGAGAAGTTTAAAAATATAGAAAATGTGTAAAAAAATAAGAAGATTTTAACCATATTTGAGAAGATCATATAAATTTTATTGCTCGATTTTATATGGATCATGACTGCCAATTATCTTATAAATAAATTGTTGATAGAATATTCTATAGACTTTGAGTTCTTTTGCTAAATCAAAGTTTCATTCATAGGTAGATAAACCCGTTAAAGGACAATCAAGTACCACTATCCTCCATAAGTTCAGCAATCGAGATACTATATATTTGTGTTTAAGCGTGGGTGTGGCAAACGAGTGACATCAACACCCACACCCTTCTTATTTCTATATGATTTTAGGTTATTCTTTTCTTTGATCAATTCACAATGTTATTTCCAAAATAATGGAAATGATTCCACTTCTTGAGATTCCTAAAGAATCTATTAGAAAAAGAAATGACAATCATCTTGAAAGCTTTAGTCTTATCTGGCTTAATAATAATGAAAATGTTGACATCCAAAAAGAATTACGTAATACAATTAATCATATTGAAACATTCGATGATGTTGAAGAATGTAAAAACTATATTGAAAAGACATCAGAAAATGATCGATTAGTTCTTGTTACTAATGGTGAATTCGGTCAACAAATTATTCCTTCAATTCATCAA